CCATCTCCTCCTAAACTTGTGCTCTGTGGAATCCGGTTGCTTTATGTATAAATGGCATACACATTGCTCTTTGTTCCCATACTCCTTGGTCCTTTCAATCTGCCTCTTTAAGCAGCAAGATGCTCAGAGCACAAAACAGTCTTCAGATGTCTGGAACATGCCTAACTAATGGAGGAGAAAAACCTACATAACGCAAATAGAAGCTTTGTCTTACCATATAGCCACATACTAGTGTGAGTAGCAATGTGGTAGGGACCTGAGTTTTGGAGAGCAATGCTGAGATTCATTCTCCCACACAGTGAAGTTCTGAGAGGTTTAAGACAAGAGATTAGGGAGTGAAAGAAAACACTTGTATTAGGTAGAGATTTAGGACCTGCTTCTCTGTAAGCAAAAAAACACATATAAATCATAAGCCTTGTCCTGCATAATTGTTTATGCTATCAATTTTAGGGATGTAAAAGGCTGCCACTACTATAATGTGTGAGCAGTGCACAGTCAAATGTATTTTGTCTTTGACATGCCCCTGACAGCTAGGGAAATAGTGCCCCCATTTTACAGATGGAAGCAGAAGCATGGAGAGGCCAAGTGAGTGGCCCCAGGCCAGAAGTGAAAGTGTGATGGAGCAGAAACTCCATCCTTTCTCCCACTTCCTAATCACTGGCCCATCCTTTCTTTTAAATCACTTCAAAGTCTAGATTACTACATTTGCCAGAAAGAGACTAGGGAATATTCCAGGGATTCTGGGTAAAAGATTCATATAGTATATACCTAGTAGATGCATATAGCATATATGTTACATACATATGGTATGTATGTAAGATATGTAAGGTACATAATAGCACACACAAAGATACAAAGATACAGTAGCATGTCAGCTACTGTGAACCTAGCACTATTTATAAGCAGCTAAGAGGTTCAAAAAAGTTGTTGCTATGTACCACAAAACAGCTCCCAGAATAGGGACAGCCACAGAAGCAGGGCACTGTATAAAATGAAGATGAGGAATAAGCAAAGCCATTGCCTCACTGCTTTCATTGCCAAGGTAAAACAATTTTACATCCCCATGCAAAAGGTGGGCACTCGGCCAAGGTAACCTGTAACAAAAGCACTGGTTTTGGAAAAGAGCTACTTGGATGTCTGCTAGTCTGGATGTGAGACCTTCAAACAGAGTTGTGTGAAGTGGAGGTATTTCTTCCATGGTATTCTGGGGCATAGAGAAGGCAGCATGTCTCTACCCAAACCGGACAGATCTCACTGCAAGGAAGTGTTCGTGTACCAAAAACTAGAGGTTGCCATCTTCTGCTTTCTGTCTTCTCCATTCAGTCAACACTGACTAAAATAATATCAACAGCTTTTGTGAAGGTCCCTTCTGAAGGAGTTATCTTTAGTTACGCTGTGACTACCCATCCTATGTCTTTCTTCCCATCCCAGAAACACTACATGCTTCAATTACAGGTCAGGGTTTGTATGTTTTTAGAAAACAAACAAACAAATACACAACCCCCCAACATAGAATAAATATGAAAACATCCCACTCAAGACTTCCCTTGAAAACTTGAAAAGAATCAGCATTGTGCAGAAGTTGAGAATTCCAACGTATCCCTTTTGGCATCCCCCAACACACACACACACACACACACGCACACACACACACACACACACACACACACACACACACTTTATGGCTA